AATAGATGTGTGTACCTTTAAAACTCGTTTGATCGCTCCCTCTATGATAACACTCTTCCTCAATCAGTGGCTGTGTTATATGACGTCAATGGAACTTATTGTAACACCGGGTGTTTGATTTACGGATGTCGTCGAACCCAGTGCCCGTCATCTGTTCGTTTCTCGAACCGTAATATTTAGTTTCGTGGCACAGTTTCTTTTGATACTAAAATTGTAAGTGTGTATGGTTTACTTTCTAACTTCCTGATTGTTAGTCTTCATCGTTCCTAATAGGAGGTAATGAGCACGGCCTGTCTTGCTTTGTTGTGTTTTTTTTTTCACACTACATAAACTGCTCTTGAATCATAGCATTTAGTCACAACGTTCCGACGTTCGAAATATTGCTATTTGTTCAGTCGAGAAAGTCGAAAGGTTCGTAAAACTACTGTGGGAGACTTTGTGCTGAGAAGAACCGGCAAAAAACACAGCAAGGACTGCTTTTCTATCGATTCGATGACTCTCTAAAGGTCATTCTCTAAGGCAGACGCCCTTATTTGTGGCTCGCTGGAAGATTTAATACGAGATAAATTTTAATACAAAGTAATTTCGGCCTTACAAAATAATTGATTCTTTAATTGGGCATTAAACGGACAAAGTTTGAGGACTTCTGCTTTAATATTAAAACGTGACTCAGTAAGTCGTTTGTTTTCGGTAATAGTTTCATATTCTAATAATATATTAAAGGTCGCGCCAATTACATTTATTTACCTTTCAGCAAAATATCAATTCATTAATGAAATAGTCGTTTTTCCAATAAAGCTTCACCCGAGGGTATTGCGTGTTGCTATTCAATGGAGGTAGTGCCTATTAGCATTATAATTTCATGATTATAAATACACTATACATATTGTTGGAAACACGATGCGTAGGTTGCATACGGACCTTATGTTTTTTAGGTGTTTCCGTCTAAGTGCTCGGCTTAGCGAGTAATTTAGGAAGCTCGCTGTTGATCCATTTTTGGCCAACCTAAATGTCAAACGGTGTTAAAGCTACTGTAACGACGTCATATTTTATGGCCGACGATACTTTGTTGGCAGTAAAAGTAAACATTATACGAAGAATATAAAATGTATTATGTATTATGCCACTAACGTATGTGAGATACAAACTAAAAAAGGAAATGTTAGTATGAAATATTAGTTCAACCCTAAAAGACAGTGGGCTTACTGTGAAAATATTATTTAATATCTTAAATGTCTCTTCAACAACTAATTAATCTTAATCACAATACATCAATTTTCGGTAAGTATTCATAGAGTAGGCGATTCTTTGAGCACTTGATAGACTAATTCTAGACCAAGATATTGTTTTGGTTTCTGCGCACACCGACTACGCGAGTTTATCACTAAGATACATAAGAGCGATTCCGTAAAAATTCAAACCCGAATTCAAATTCACTCAGGTTTCCGAATTCACTTCGATAGCGACATCCGCTCAACCTTGAATTGGTATTAACGTTTTGTGGCTTAAGTGAAATGAGTTTCGAAATGACAGGGATAGAATATCTGAGATGACGTACGAATCAACCAATCTTGTTTTGTATTTTATTTATTAATCTGATATAATTTAAGCGGATTCTCTTTCGAATTGAATTGGGACATCTGAGTGAAATTCGAATTTGGGTTCGGATTTCTATGGCATCACAGGGCTGAATGAAGACTTACTTTTTTGTACACGAACGCATGTTCGGGAAATCATATCTGTGAAGATTATCTGTGCATCAGTGTCAGGTCATACCTCCGTTGCATTATAAATTATCTAAAAATGAGATTCTTTGGAGTCATATTAATGTTTCAATATATTAGAGGCAACGGTTTTCGGAGATACTGGCCTCAGACGACACTGACGGCAGCGAGACGCGGCTCGACTCGCGTGCGTATCGCGTCGTCCGGAAAGCCTAGTGCTCTAATTAACGATCGATAAAAATCTATAGCAGTAGGTATAATAATGTGGCAATAACTTTAGCTTAGGTTTTATAATCGGAAGGAAAGTCAATCGTCTGTCGGTGCCGGTAGCCACAAATGGTAGAATCTACCATATAATTTTTCAGTGAGAAATTTGTAATTTTCAACGTTCAGATAAAATTAATTTTCTCTGAACGTTGAAATCTATCAATCAATCAAATCGAATCAACCTTTCTATCAATCTGTATTACATTTCATGTCCAACAATGCTGTAGTTGTAAGTAGACATTCAGTTTTTAACCGACATCGAATAAACTGGCCACGAGCGAGCCACTAGCACGCAGTGGGTTGAATACGAGTACAAATACTGCCAGAAATATTAATTAATAAAAATAAAAAAAAAAACAACGCTATCAAAACATTATTTATATATGTATTTTAATATTTCACCACAAGCTCTTTTAATTTTTCACTATTCTCTAGAGCAGAAAAAAATATTTTTACAAATATTCTAGAGTAGCCTTCAAATACGTAACAGATACCTACAGTTATCGGTACCGATCATACAGGTGTTGTGTTCTTGTTTTTAATTTATTTATGTGTTATCTTAAAGACAAACAAAACTTGTCTCTTTGATTTGGGTAACGAACGAATGTCCCAAACAGATCTGTTTCTGAATATCTGACGTTGGATAAGTATATATAATTTTAGAATTGACGAGGGTACGACTGGACATAGCTTTACTGTCTACGTACGTCATAGAAATTCGATCTCTTTTTTTCGTTATTCGAATTGATTGGCTGCAAATCTCTTGATTTGTAAATTGAGATACAATGATCGAGATATTTGGTTTGTTATAATCCCTTTAATATTATTATTATACAGCACTAAATATTACAACTGCTTATCTCAGTGTCCATTATTCTTTCACGCCTAAATCACTGAGCGAAATTTGGCACAGAGATAGATTTGACTTTGGGGCAGACGGAAATAGGGGATGAAAGATCTTCATTGAAATTAACCATACTATGCGGACGACGTCAGAATTATTTTATATAATCAACAACTGTTTAAATGATTATTTTAGACTATAACAAAACTTTTGTTTATTACGAGTACCTTTACCATATACATTCATTACTTCAATTTACTTAATGAATAGAAATCTAAAAAGTTATTTTTAACATTTACAAACAAACAAACAAAATAATACTCTGATACTAAATCAATAGTATTGCATCAGATCGTTCAATATTGCATAAATGTTTTTGAGCAAACTGTCAAGGTTATAAAAGGAAAAAGATTATTATTATGTATCTATACAAATATTGTATTGTGAAACTTCTTATCACGATTTTCCGGATAAAATAAAATAAAATTATATAAAAATTCAACACAACAGTATGTTTTCTTTTGCGCGGGAGACTGGAGAGCGAAATCGGCTACGTTTTACCAACGTTTTACCGCCAGTTTTTAGATGACATACAATGTAAGCGGACGGTATTCATACCGTTCTATATTTGAAATTCTGTGATAGCTGAGCGATCGTACAGTTTCGTAACCCGTACCTAGTCGATTTCATATCCGTTCCGGGCGTTCGAAGGCCGTTCCATTATCGAATTTAATCGTACCCGCCGCCGTAATGAATATTTATCGACTAGTAAGTATCGAATGCGTGATGGTCTCACGTCTGTGGTGTTTGTTTACGCGCGCAGCTGTTTCATACTGCCGTCATTGAACCGGTTGATTTATTGAAAACAAATCAGGATTTGTTTATTTACTTAAATGATTTTTTTATTGTTCTACTGTCACAATTCGGTTGTGATTATTTTGCACGATAATAATTGGCTTTGAGTTTCACTCAAATTCTGTGAAAAAATCTGTCTCAATCTGTCTCTACAAAAGTAATCATGGGCTAAAAAATCTTCCTATGGGGGTTGGCACGGAATAAAATTACAGTATTTTGTCGTTTAAAAAAGTCTTAAAATAAAGGAGACTATATTATAGCATAGTAGCCGTGGTCGAATGGTGCTTGAAATATAGAATACATATTTTGACTTCGGTCAAAGGTTTTGAGGTGTACGATGTTGACATCTCTGATGGAAAAATTAAGTTTATAGTCGTTTAAGAGTCTGGATCAATGAAATTAGGCAACACTTCAATGTTTCCTATATTTATATTGACTATTATTAGAGTAATAGGTATATTTATTTCTTAATTTATATAAACTCCACCCTGTACTCCATTTTATTCACCCGCGAACCTCTCACCTCCATATTTAAACATTAGTTAAATTAATCCTGTAGTTATTTTTAATACTTGTATTTTTCCCCTGTACCCAGCACTACCCAGCACTCGCTAAGGTTTGATTAGCTTGAAAGCTATTGTTCTATTTTTGTATCAAAAGAATTGTATTTTTTTTTGTGTTGGTGTCGTCGATATACAAAAGTTAATTTTCCACGTTACATTGCAAAACCGACATTTGTAGTTCTTGAAATGAAAACATTATATCAGTACATTGTTACTAGTGACAATACAATATGATACAATACGGCTGCGGTGTTTGTTGCGTGCGCACACGGAACCTGTCGCCGTTGTCGCGCGTCAATGAGCGACAATAGACCGTTCAACGTGTTAATAGGAAACTTCCACTATTGTCATGTTACCTACTTAAATTGTCGTGTTGATTTTGCATAGTTTCTATTGAGAGAGAACATTAAACTTGGTCGTATTACTTATACTGTTGAGAACAGTAGTATAGTAATAGTACTTACCTACTTTTATTAAATACTGGCTGTTTTTCTGCGACTTCGCTTGTAAATTATAGCCTATGTCAACCGAGTATGATGTAGCTTCCCGAAGGTGAAGGTTTTAAAATTGGTTCAGTCGTTTCGGAGCCTATTCAATGCAAAGAAACAAACATATAATATATCTTACCTCATTAAAATATTATAGTAGACATAGATCGAGCTATCGAACCACAAACGCAACATTTAAATTTTTGTGTTTTTTTTTTTACTTTTAATCCTGTATTAAGTCGAGTCTTGTTGTCGACAGGCATACGAAAGGCGGTTTCCAAGCTGCTCGCAGATTCCGGTGGTGGTCGATTGCCCCATCATTGAGGACTGTTGGTCTCCGGACGACTCGCAGCGGGACACCACACGCAGGTGTCAGCTGAACGTGGAAGCACCGTACCTTCTTAAGAAGGTAGGCAGTTAACCTGTTGCAATGTTGCATGAATGTTTATTGTGTATCACAGGACTTAAATAAGTAATTTTGTGACTCCACATAAATCGAGTCGCTCGGAAAACAGGTCGGTCAGAGATCACACGAGGTTGAAAAGAAGAAGAAAAACGATTTTGACTGAATCAACTTTTTTAATTTTTATGCATTTAAAATTTGTCTCCATCACTTACTCTTCTGTGTACTGTATCTTCTATATCTTTTTCTTTTATGACATAAATAAACTAGCCCTGTATCATCAACTGTAATACTCATAGGGATAAGTGATTGTAGGATATTTACATTCATTCAAATATTTGTGTCTCTCTTTTTGTATTTCTCTTTCAAATATTTGTTTTCTTCATATTCAATTGTAAGTATACTTATATAAATGAATAGTTTATTTAGTCTTTGTCGTTTTATGATTTTTTTTTATTGAACATACCTTGTTTTATGAAATGTTTTCTGAGATACAGATACCTCAAAACATGTAATAAATTTGACATTGCTCTCCTCTGAGATATTGCAAGCATTTATTATACAAAAGTAAATTCATTTTATGAAGAAATTCTTATTGAGCATTTCACCAGGAGAACGATAGAAAATGTCCTTTGTAATTTTTTTTTGATTCATTACTGAGAGTATGCGAACGGGAGTTAGTGTTAATGTCCCTTTTGGATGTGTACCCACGGTTGGTCCGTCTGTTATTTATTTTGTCCTATAAGAAAAAAGAATAGACAGACAAACAGTGGATAGTGTTTTTTAACTGTAGGTGGTAGACATTTGAAATTTTCACAAAATATCTGACATCATGCCGCTACGACTCGCATTTGGTCAACATTTTTATGGACTGGGGATAATGGAAGTAGAATGGGTTTTATGTTACTATGTGAGACGTGACTAGGTTTAGGAGTGCTTTCTTGTAAGATCATTATTTTGTTAATATTCGTTTAGTTTTAGATCACCTTTTCCAAAATGAGGTCGCACACGGTATTTGTTTCGTTACTGTTCGGGTTATTATATTATGCAGACTTACTATAGACGTTAACGCGATATCAATAAGTAATAACTACACAAATACAAGATAAAACCGTTTAGATCTATATAAAGATTTCACGTTTATTATTAATAACTACACACAATTACATCAACAAACTTTTAATTCACACAAAAAGTTAAAACAAACAAAGTATGATGTGTGTAGTAGCAGTTAGAAAAACATCAAGGCTCGGTGCATCTAAATCAACAAGATTCGGACGAAGCACCGATATTCAGCCATCATCTAGTCTAGGTGAGCTAGGTCTAGTCAAGGTGAGCGGGGACAGAAAATAACAAATAAATAAAAATACACGACAGTAGAAATAGTAAATCAAACATGTTTTTAGGGAAAAAATATAGCAAAAGTCAGATAAAATATACATTAAATAGAGCAGGCATTTTGTACCCGCTGAGTTAATTGGTTCGTAACGGAAAGAAGACGAGTGCCAATCACAAAAACCGAATAATTGAGTCGTGAGAGCACTAGATACTCGCAATAATGTATTACGAGCCTTCTCGCTGAAGAAATTATGAAACCGGCAAAGCACCCTACGGTACATGCAACTCTTGACGACACTTATAACATGAGTTTCAAAACGTTGTTGGGAGTCAAATAGTACTCCAAGATTTCGCGCCTTATTAACCCTTTGCACAGTCTGGTGCCCAAGAAATATTATGGGATTGGAGAGGATGATAGAGGTGACCTGCGTCTTAGAACCCATTACCATAAATTTGGACTTTGAGGATTTTAAAAGTAGCCTATTGTTATCTAACTATTTAGCGATCTTCTATAAATCTCTTCGAATAACTTAGGCCGTGAGGATATATAAAGTTGCACAAAATACGCATAGCAATGGTAGTGGCAAAGCTTGATAGCTCCAACAATATCTGCTGTATAAATAACAGTCGCCCAAGAATTGAGCCCCGAGGAACACCACGTAATACTTCCCTGGGATCCGAGACACGTTAATAACTATGACTGGAAAGCCCTCTTATCTTTAGTAATCTTGAGTGAGTGTTAACGTTGTAATAGATAGCTGCCGAACCATCTCAGACGAATCAAACCATAGTACACGAGCGTGGCCAAGATAAGATGCAGATTAATACTATCAAAAGGATGTGAATAATCTAGCAACTTGAGAATGGTGCCAAACCCGGCATCTTGTTGAGACAGAATATCGTTAACGACGTCAAGTAAAGCAGTAGATGTATCATGGTTCTACGATAACCGATTTGCATTGTAGGAATAATTCCATTAAGTTCGAGATTTTGTACTACTGTTTCCAAAATATGCGATAAAAAAATAAAAAGCATGTATACGCTGTAAAGTTGAGAAATTCTGTATTAAATGTTCGGTCAAGTGTGAAATCGACTTTAGGTAATTATTCCAGGCCGGCTGCCCGCTGGAAACGGATTCGGTATTCTATGCTTTGATGCTTGTATAGAAACGGTCGAAGCATAGAAATCCAATTGGGAACTAATTCGATTTTTATGCTGGGGCTTTGATTATTTTGTACCAAGGGTCGGGACGGATCTTTTCATTACACGAATCATTATGACAATTTAAATCTAAGAGCACTCGTAGACCCGAGTTAGGCTGTTTGATTGAACTTTACTTTAGCATTTTAAATACTTACTAAAATTTATTTTTAATGGTAAAATTCTCTATACCTGATATTTTAAATGAGTTTTGTTCCCAGATGATCGGAGTGGATTACGTGTACTTCATTCAGAAGAATCACTTAGACCTGGAGAGTCGGGTACTGGAGATCGAAGCCACCAACGAGACGTTTGCCTCCAGGGTCGGCGTCGTCGAAAAATGCAAATACTATGTGAGTACCCACTGAAAATACGTCCATGGAAGTTTTCATATACATAGATTTAGTGATGCGTTATACTACGTTTTAACATCGGTGCACCTAGTATAATTTACTACTTCTATTTATTATTAGTAGTATGAAGTAATTGATCTACGCAAATGAGATAAATCGGTTTTAAACTTCAAGCTCTAATCCTTCTGTTCTAGTCTTATAACCTTACTCCGTAGTTTAAAAGTCGAAAATTGTGATACGGAGAAAAATAGTGTGAGAATGAAGCTTACATCCAAATATTTGTTATAGACTAGGTCGAAGGCCGTAATTTATAGAAATAAGTGTATCAAGTATTAAGGAATTTCATACAAATTTCTTATAGCATATCATATTTCAACAATTTTGTATTCACATTGCTTAAGAAATTCGGCCACAGGAACCACGACATGGGATTACATCTCATCATCTCGGGGTAACTGGTGATTTTTCTTTAAGAGATTTCTTACTTATGTCTTGAAAAAAAAAAAAAAACGATTAAAACAACACCAGCAGCTGATGCATATTTATATTCAATACGCCTTCGCCTGTCTATCGTCTCATTGACTTACCTTGTGATTTCACCTCGTTTGTTCGGCAGCTTGATAATAACACGTTGTTTATACTAATATTCTAAAGAGGAAAGATTTGATTGTTTGTATGTTTGTTAGCATCAAATAGGCTCGAAAATTACTGGACCATGATACGGGTGTCATAGGCTCTAATATTGTAATGGAAAGAGATTTCATATTTTAATGAAGTAATTTTTCAATCTTGACGCTCTGTAATAAATTGAACAGGGAGAAAAAAAGCCGAGTTTCTTGCCGGTTCTTCTCGGTACAAGGTCTACCGCCGTAGATTTACGAACCGATAGCGTAGCTCTTGACATTCACAAGTGCTTGTAACAGCCTAGACTGAATAAATAATTTAGATTTTTGATTTTTTTCTCTATTTTACGCATGCGAAGTCGCGGTACAATAGCTAGTATTGTATGACTTGCCACCTATTATATAATAGAACCTCTGCCGGCAATCGATACAATAGTCTTGCCTTGTACGGGATATCACTATTAGTATGAATCAAAATCGATCCACCATTGCATACCCTTGTCTATATTAAATTGCTACCAAATCATACATGGATTTATATTTTTATAGACTATTTAGGAAAATTTCTTGACGAGTTTATGTTGGCCGAAACCGAGTAAAATATATAAAACAACTTTGTATGTCCTGTGTTGTTTTTTCTCTGCATTTCATTCTGTTTGATTGGTCTTGTAAGTATTCTGTCCATTGTCACGGAGGGTTAGTTGGATGATGGATTCTATTGAAAAGAAAAAAAAAAGAAGCCGTGAATAAGATTTCGGGTCATAGTAAGGTGCAATGCGTTCTGGGGAAATGGCATCAACAAACAGCTCATTCATCCTCAACCTTTATAGTTGTTATTTATAAAGAATATTCATTAACTATTGTACAAGTTATGTCGACTGGTAAATAAATTCCATTCGTGTAATAGTTTCTGTATTCAAGAATTCGACTTTGCATTAAATATAATATGTTAATTTCTTTAGTTAAGTCTTTCACGGTGATAAAAAGTTAGAACAACTTTTTTTTCACGAATAAAATTAATGTTAAATTTTTACGTTTAATTAAAATGAGTGTAAGAAATGATGTAACAACAATAAAGCAGCCGAATTAGGTCACTCTAATTAGTCAGTAATCGCACGATAACGAAACGCTTTCGTAGGAAACTAAACGTAATAAAGCGGTTACCGACCGCGAGCGGACGGTTATATCAATTGTGTGTGATACAATAGATTTGTTATTATATACAGGTGATTCGTTCAGGAACCTGATACTGTTGTTGTTATCTTTATAATGATACACCCTAATCTTCTAAATATAAATAACTCAAAGGTGACTGACTGACATAGTGATCTATCAACGCTTAGTCCAAACCACTGGACGGATCGGGCTGAAATTTGGCATACAGGTAGGCGTTATTATGACGTAGGCATCCGCTAAGAAAGGATTTCGATCAATTCTACCCCCAAGGGGATAAAGGTTTGTATGAAAATTTGTCAATTTTAAATCGATCGGGCTGACACTTTGCATGCATAAAGCTACTATGACGTAGAAATCCCCTAAGAAAGGATTGTGATAAATTCTACCCTTAAGGGGATAAAATAAGGGATGAAACTTTATTTCAGGTTTTTTACACGATATATTGAATAAATATTCGTTAGAAATACTGCTCAGAGTAACTTTACCACGCGGACGAAGTCGCGGGCATAAGCTAGTTATTTTATAAATCGGTCAATCGATCATTCGATTAAAATTAATTGGTTTGGGAAACCCATTAGTTGGTTTAAACAAGAGAATCATATTAGAATAAATTATAAATGATTACTTAATTAGAATCAATTTTATGCGCGATAATGGATTTTATGTGGTCGACCCAAAATAAGGATTGGTTTTTCAATTAAATCGAAAACGATTGAGATTAACTCTGCAACCCTGAATAATGATTGTTCTTATGTAATAAAATTCGTTAGGGTTGAAGATTACATCCAGTAGGTCTGATTCATTAATGGTTATAAAAAATAAAGGCGACATTTAATTTTGAACACGTTAAAAGTTTACAAATGTAAACGTTAACCAGAATATTTTGTCCAAATTTGACTCGTCAGGTAGACGATTATAAAGGATGCATGTGAGCGAAATAAGAATTGGAAATGCATGGGATGTAAACGACAAACCTACTGTTATAATACGTGTAGGTAGACTGTAGCTGGGATGTAGCAGGGGTTTCGAGTAAAACACTGGTTAGGAGAACTCGGAGAACGTTCGAAGGCAGAACATGTTTATTGCAGAAAAATCGATTATCTATATACAATTTGATCGATCAGTTAATCTAATAAGATTTATTGGAGACGGGGTACGCTACCCTGCACCGCGCGGGACGGGAATGTTGTTTCATTTTTCCGTTGGTGGCGCTGTCGGCGCGGCGTGGCTCGGTGTCCTCTACAATACGATTCCGCTGTCTTTAAATTTGTGCAGAAATTAAAACTTGTTTAATTTATGATTTAAAAGAAAATAGTTGAAGTTTTTGAGGCAAGAATGTTATTCAGATTCAAAAATATACCGATATGTGGACGAGACAGAATAATGTTAATAATTTTATACGTACCATTATAAGAATTATTCAGTATTGTAAATGTGTTTAACCCGGATCGTATACGTGAGAAAATTAATAATAATAATAACTTTAAACGTTACATTGTTTTACTAGAGAGTAAACAAAAGATAATTGTTTGATCGGTGTAAATTATAGCTAACCTATTAATAATAGCGTATGTGTACTTAATTTTGTATCTGCACGTGTAGATAGGGTTTTAAACAGTCCTCTGGCATAATTAATACCTGGGGCTGCAGTCTCGACGGAGTTTGCGATCGCAATCTTACTGAATTCGGTCGCTAACTCATAGGGATCGCAAGTTAACGATTATTGTTAGTCTCTACGGGTAAGTATATTCTTATTTGTTAGGTACGTATCTATTGAAATTGTCAAAGAAGCGAAATTTGTTAGTTTCCTAGCGATCGTAATTCATCGCTCTCAACAGCTCGTTTAGTACACTTTGCAATCGCCACTTAACGATCGCTAAAATGTCGGGACTGCACGCCCTGAAGACCTATTCTTCTATTTCTCCGAAAACGAATTTTTCGACTATTTTCGAATTGCTAATAAGACTTCAAAAAACCGAATGTTTCGATAATTTATGATGCAAACGGCGACAGGACCCGATGCACAGATAAACATTACGCATATGATTTTAACAAAACAATAAGAACCATTCGAAATTTTCCGAATTTTCGTTAATTTCATTTAATAAAGTTAATTTTAGTCTTTCTTTCTATATATAAAAATAAATTACTGTTCGTTGGTCTCGCTAAAACTAGAGAATGGCTATGCCGATATTTTGGTTTTGATATGTTTGTCGAACTCCAGGGAAGGTTTAAACGGCGAGAGGTGTGTGATACGAAGTATATGATACTAGTATATAATAATATTAGTTTGGCTATGTTATTTGTCTGCCTGGTTTTGATGCCCTTAAAATATTGCTGATTCGTGAATCGCGTTGTTATGTAGGTACTTGACCATTCCTTAAATTCTGACGTTTTTATATTTTAAGGATGTAAGTAAATGAATCTATGTATAAAGTTTTATGCAATGACTTATGACAGTGTTAGATTAGTGACTGTCTGTGTAATGTGTAATAATAACAGCTACCGGGTTTTCGGTTTGAACACAATCACCACTGCTTCATTAACATTACGGAGTTTGTTTTAAACATATCAAATAAATGGTGGTTAAATTATCGATTTTAAGATATGGCCACGACATATCTGTCGCTGTTACTGAGTTAGAAATACTAACACGTATCACATTATAGACGAATGTGACCTTACTATTAATGGAGTCGGCAGGCCAATTCCAAATGTTATTTAGTAAGTAACCTAAGACCAATGTCAGGTTTTAGATACGGCAATAATTGGCGTACTAACTAACAATATATGGTTAAGATCTGTAAGTGAATTCATTGTTTTGTATTTACTATTAATGTTTAAGAGAAGTGAGAGATTGTTTTCTCCGTTATATAACTGGACCTGAAAAGCATTAGGTCGGATGTGCAGAACCAGCTTAAATCACTTATCGCCATAACGTTGCTACACTCTTTTTTCTCTTTCCGGCAAATTAACTCTTGTATGTTTGTGCCTTTTTACTCATGAGCAACAGTCATGCATAAAGTCGGATCAGACGACTTTTTCAAATATTTTGATTGCATTTAGCTATTTCTGTTTTTATACAGTTTTTATACATCCGACCTAATGCCTTTCAGGTCCAGATAAGTTAAAATGTGATTATGAAATGTCTTATAATAAGACTCCTTTATGTTTGTGCGTGACGTATTAATTGTTTTTATTCCACAACTCGCGATTGCTTTAGATATTAGATCGGTTTGATTAGAAGGTAGTTAACTATTTCAAGTTACAATGCTTCGATCGCAATATATATAATGGAAAACGTTTGGTTCATAAATATTTGATGGATACATTTTATCTATTCATGGCGTGAATATTAAAGAAAATAATTTTTCCCACGTTCATTTTAATTTCAATTTGTTTGCCGCATTGCAGAGGCTTTAATTCGAATCTCAGCGATATGCGACGTGAACCCATTCGGAGCACGAGCTTTTAACATAAATTAATATTACTAAATCCGTGAAATGCTCAAATGCCGGTGACTTTTAATAGTCGTGGTTTTTTACATCCCATGATCAGCTGTTAGCAGCTGCGGCCTGCCACCGACTGCTAAAATCTTTTCGCATTGTCAATTTGTCAGATATTTGTTTACTAGGCACTTATTTTCAGGTCCATCCCGAAAATAACGAGTGGACATGTTTCGAACAGACCGCGATTCTCGACGTTCATAACTTCTTCGGTCTGGAGAATACCGTCGAGAAGATCGCTATGAAGCAGTACTCTGCAAACATCTCCAAAGGTACTACTACTATTTGTCTGGCGTCCCCTGACTATATTTTTTATTAATCTCCGATTTGGTATCTACCAATGTGGAGATTGATAAAAAACCTCCGAATTGGTAGATACCAATCCTCTGCCTCATGACTGAACGAACGTATTTTATTTAACTGACCACGCTCCGAATATCAGAGATATTTATCTGTTTTTCTATTAACAGGTAAAGAGCTTATAGAATCGTTCATGAAGGAAGTGTACGCTGATGGTGTTATGGACTTGCGGCCCTGGCAGAAGCAGGACCCTGAACACAACAGGAATTTGCGCCGCATCATATCCCGCAACACGGAACCTCTGTCGCCTCGTGCCGCAGCTGAACCGCGCAGACATTCGCAACCAGGTTAGTACCGTTATACGCAGCTGATATTCCTGACAGAGATCATCTTTTGTAAATTGGGAATATTTATTTTTATTGTACTGACGTCCACTGCAGAGCATAGGTCACTCCCATAAATCTCCACTACGATCAGTCCTGAGCTGCCTTTTTTTTTTTGACGAGTCCTGAGCTGCCTGTATTAAGTGGCAATTTTGTCAGCTCCTCGGTCCACTTGGTGTGAGAACTATCGAACTTGCGACTTGGTCGGAAAACCGACCAGAACATTTTTTTCCACTCTTACCCTGCCCTTTGTGGCCTGTTCACTGCCACTTCAGCTGAGCAGTCTTTTAAGCAATGTCAGTAACATTGGTACTCATACAGAACACTTCATTATTTATTTATCGCATAGAAAAATGCCAGATCTATTCATCATGGAGTCCAAAAGTATGACATATTGTTTAGTCGAGCCTAGTTCAGAATAGGAGGGCCAAATGATATAGTAACATAATCATTTGTAATACTATATGTGTTGTTTCAATACGAACGCCAGTTGTTAGTCCATTAAGATCTTTCCAATCACCGGGTGGAATCACTGCTTATTAAAAATACATGTCAGCGAATAGGTGCCACCCGCGACATTATCGCAGTGCGGGGGTTGGCTGACTGCACCGGCCGGCCTCGAACATGCGGATGGGTCCGAATATTAATTAAGCGATCGATTGATAGCAGACTACGTGCACTTTAAGTTCCAGCCCTCTATAGTTAGCTGTACGTTAGGTTATTAAAAAATGAAAATTGATTTTTTGATAGCCTGGTGTGTCTTATACGGACTATAAGTATACATGTAAGAAATATTGTAACACGTGTTTCAATCCCCACGGACGGTCCTCAGTTTTATGTTAAATCGCTAGAGCTACCGAACAAATAATTCAGATGGCTATGTCCTCGTTCAAATATTTTTGTAGAGCTCTCATGTAAATTTAATGCCTTCTTCTCTACAGTATTTTTCGGATGCCCCTAGAGATCTTAATGTGTTGTCGACGGTAGACTGTATGTTGTTGGAATAAGGTAGAATAGGGATGATGACTAATTTTTGTTTGTTTGTCCGTCAGGTAGAGTGTTAAAAAATGATAAATAAGTTTTTTTTTTTTTGTAATCATAAAATTACGGCGTTACATTGAGTTGAAATTTCGCATGACTTCACGTTAGGGTACGTTTTCTACTCAACTGTGACGTAGCGAGCCCCCACTCCTCAATTTTAATGCCTGTTATCTAAGCTATTTCTTGTTAAATTGAAGTAAAAAAAAACGTATCTAATATTTTTCTATTATCTGACTGACGGACTAAATAGAATTGCATTTTTTTTACCCAGTCATCATCCCTATTTCGGCGTAAATATATTTAGGAACTAAAGGCACAGAAAAATAATAGTTGAATTCTTAATGTCAAAAAACCTTGTTGATTTTAAACCTTTGAATCTGGTGTGTTGCTGTGTGTACTTTTTAAACTGTAGAATTAATATTCAAACAGGTGTTGTGACTCGGAAGATAAAACTTCCGCATAAATATATACAGAGTTACATAATACGCATCGTATATTTTTTGTACGTAATTCATATATGTATCTGTATTGACAAAATTCAAGTTGTATTTTTCTTTTTTCGAATTGATATCTAAATGAATTTCAACATCCTTTTCGGTTTTGAGACATTTTTATCTAATGATGAATTGTTGGGGAGTCTGTATAGGGAGCTTTAGGTCTGGTTCTCACTATGCCTCGCCACAATTTTGCCCGGCAACTCTAGTGTCTGTATAATTCATATGAACGCCCCAACATCGTTTCTTATCGTATGCTGTTGTGTAACCGGGATACAATTTACGAATAAATGTAAAACGATGTGACGTCATGAGATAGCAGCGTAGTAATTGACATCTTCCGGGAGTAACAAGGATTTCTTCCTTGTTACGTGACCACCGCCAATTAATTTATAAGCAAATAATAAATAAACGAAACTTATTTATTTACGAAATAAATGTTTTTCATTTTAATTATTATATATTTCTATTGACTAAAATTTCTGCTCGAAACCAATGAGATAAGATAGTAAGTGTGTGCTTGAGTACACACAAGCAGTCGAGAATTAATAATTTATATTTATCCCAATAACCACATTCGATTTAAAATTTACATCAAAATTTGCAAACGGTCTTGTAAACAATGAACTGTCAAATTTATAACTGTAGCAGAGAACTGACATCATGAATACAAAACAAGTGTTCTGTAGCCTTTTTGGCAGCTTTGGATACAGGTTCCGGCTCGGCATAGTGGGAACAAGGCCTTAGCGTTGTGAGGAGAAGTGAGGGTTAAGTGTGGAAGCGCCAAAAGGGGTCGAGGTCGTTACGTGATTCGGAGGTCAGTGTCGAGGGATCAGATACATGCGTTCAAATGGAATCGTAAAGGGAATTGATAATATTGTTATTTTGCATTGTGGATGTATTGTAGGTAGCTTTCCTCGTCCAATTCGACGTCTTATAAATATGTAATGTCGTCAAACCTTTTATAGGTAGGAAATTACTCTACTTTTCTTGTTTGCTTAAACTGATGAATATTTGATTGTTTCCTATTCTAGTTGATAGTGGAGGTCACTCAGCTGAGTCTCAGATTAAATAATTCAATGCTGCCCCAAAATTTGACGCTGCCGGCGGGTTTAAATATTAATTATTGCTGATCATGCCTTCTGATATTGACTGGTCGTAACGTTTTTTGAATGTCATCGACATAGCTATGGAATTTAGAAATTCACTAACACTCATGTTTGTTTTCTCTCGAAATACGCATAATGAGTTCGTTTTTTGTACGTTCATAGAAATTGTATAAATACGAAAGTTATTTTGTCCGTTTCGCTTTAATAGCTAGTTTTTTTTTAATTATGATTTATTTATGGTGTACAATGAAGTACCTATTCGTCCATTGGTTCATGGCGAAGGCGATAGCCCAACACCTCAATCTAGGGCTGGTTCCGAGGTTGTGGAGGGTCATAAAAGTATTCCACGGTCCACATCGTGTGAGGGTCCTTAGATGCACCTTAGGTATTTCCTCTCACAAAATGAGGGGGTCCGTCACGGTGGTAAATGCCCTGCATCGACCCATACTATCAATTTCGATGTGTAAGAACGCTCCAGGGTTTTTGCGGGTACTTCGCCGTAAATGCGTTCCCTGAGACAAAAAAAGTAGGTATTCCATAGACATGTTGGGTAGAAGTAATTACACATCCTATGTATATACTTCCAATGTCACGTTGTTCACTAGTTTCGCCATGTTTTTGTCTGAAATTCTTGTCCGAACATATCCGAATTAACTGAGCATGCTTCTGACAATATCTTTCAGGTCAACTCTCTTTCTTATCTCTTCATTGCGGATCATTACTAACAAAAATGCAATTCTTTTCTCTGCATATTATAAGTGAGGATACAAAACCAATACTTCATGGTTCGTTATGGAAACTTCTTTTTTTTTATTGTGGTAGTAAAGAAAATGGATCGTTTCGTCACCAATATTTTCTCGGTCCGCGGGACACTGGAGCGTGAAATCCCTCTTTCTTTTTTTGTGTTCGCTACTTAACGAAGCCTTTCAATAAATTCGTGTCGTTTTATTTAGTTTCGTATTGTTCAATCGATAAACGCTCTATATAAACGCCCTATATAAATACATTATCTCATAGTTATACATATAGATGTATTCTTTTTAAATGGCATTAATTTATAACGGCATGCATGAAAATAGGGTCTGCAAGTTTGATATTGCGACATTTGATTTTCTCAATTTAAACATCCAGTTTTAATAAGTATGAATGCTTAAGCGTGGACAAGATTTCGAAATAATTTATTTCCCGCCATGACACAAATCAGACATTCTTCTGTGACTGGTTTGCCGGCTGTTCGCTCATATCGTCGAAGCTAAAACGACTTTCTCAAAATTTCTTCGCATCTGGATTCTATCCGGCATCGCCGTAGATTTTTGTCACAAGTACCGTCAATTTGTAATGTGATATTCTATTAGTAATTACCATAAGTGTCGATAGCAATTTGAAACTTTATGGGTCCAATTTCATCAATCACTCTAATGCCCGAGTTAAACCTCGACGCAATTTGAGGAGACTTATAAATGTAAATTACTATAATTTGTTAGATGTCAAGGACGCTATTATACAGTGGACATCTTGGCCGAAAATTGTCTAGTCTTTGATAATATAATATTTAAAAAACGCGATGAGAAATTAGACTACATTATTTTGGACTAAAAACATCCCATTAATATACATAGAGTAATCTCCATAAAAATTATAATATGTAAAAATATTCTAAAAGTTTTTGTACGTAGTTGGTGTAGGATGATAAATTTGTTGAAATGCCGCATTGTGAATTGTGATTTATTCTCAGTCTGTGGCTTACTGCTCGGTTTGCGTTGGATTTTGCTAACGTATCATATTTCCCACCCATATTTATTTACTTTTTAAACTAAAGATAAGGCTATCGGTCCGCCATGATCCTAAATAAATGGTAGATTTAGGTATATTTGCCATAGTCTCTAATTACTTGTATTAAAAAAAAAACAATAATTGTATAGTAGAACTACATAAAACCAAATAAAATAGTTCTTAATTATACACTCCCAGAAGTTGTATAATTGCTGATATATAAAAATTGATCTTTTTTTATACTGCTTTATCCATGAATAAATTATATAATGGAAAATTACTTCCTAATGTCATAAATTTAAGGTAGCCAAATGTATTTGAAGTTACACGTTTTTTATATGTGGACAAAATGTACCTTTAATTTTTTTTTTTGTACTATAAGAGGCACCGTTAGTATGTTGTGCTATAAAATTGGTTATAGCATACCTTGTAGGCCCATCGTGTCCTATTTCCCTATTTCCTGTGCAAGTCCCGTGTCCTTATCCCAATCCTTATCCTTTTGCCCACAGATATAGCTTCACCGATTCCGCGTCGCAGTAAACGTGAC